GGTACCTTGATATAAATAGTAATTAGATAGCCCTAACCTGGTATGTCCATGTAGTAACAGAAGGTTGTAATGCATAGAATTAAAAATCAGAAAGTTTAAATAGGTGATTCACAGGCAGATCTCAGGTATGATAGCTAGTGGGTAACCCTCGGGCAGAACCCTTAATTAGATAATGACTAAAGTTATACGTATAGCTAGTTATACTTTCGTTGATAAACTATGTATTCATTAATAACTAGATATTACTCAATAAAAGACAGACAAGCAAGATTGCCGCTTATAACACAAAAAAAAAAAAAAAAAGTAATTTGATCCGTGAGATATATAGGTTAGTTTAAAGTTTATTGTACAATTAATTTTTATGTTGGTGCATAGAATGAATGTTGGTTATATTATGTGATTCAATGTGATAAAGCAAATTTATAAATTAAGTAGTTACATAAGAGTAGAAAAATATAAATAAAAATATAATTAAAATTTATTCAGATAGATAAGTGAAATAGTTAGCTTAGTATAGCATATAAATGAACATTAGTAAAAATAGCTATGTAGTAAATGCTTATTGAGGTAAATTAGTAATTTAATTTGTAATACGTTAAATATATTTATTGGTATTAGTTTTAAATAGGTATAGGTAATATTGCGAGAAGCTTTTAGATGTAATATGTAAGTAAGTTGAGAGTAAGCTGTAGTATGGTTAAAAGCAAAGAGTAAGAATATAGGATAGTATTAATTAATAAATATTTAATTTACTAAATGAATGAATATTGATACGATATTATATGAGTGTTGCCAAATGAAAACCTGTAAATCTAAAAAATAGATCACTTATGAAATTAATAAGCGATCTATTTTTTAGATTTATGGGTTTCATTTGGCAACACTTATATAAGTAATTTATAAAATAATAAATTGGGTTATAAGTAGTAAATTAATGTAAATAAATTAGAATAATAAATAATTATTTATGAGTGGCATTGTGTTGTTAATAAGTTATTTAGTTTAAATTAATGGAATAATATAGAATTAAATAATAAAAACATTTGATAAATTGATATTTTTAAAAAGGTAAAGTAATTTATTATAATATAATTAAAATAATACAAAGTATATAATACGTATAAATAAAGTAAATAATTAATATGTTAAATTTTTAATAATACTATGAAAATAAAGATGCATAACAGAAATTTATAACTATATTAAGGGAAAAATATTAAGAGTTATTGTAGTACTTCAAGATATACAATATTTTGTGTGTAACCTGCTTCCGCATGTTGACCAGATATTAGTAGTTTAAGAGAATGGTGAGAAGTAGTTCTAGAGCAAGCAACGTAAAGCTGACCATGCGAAAATACAGGTGTAGGAAGATAAATTCCAACGTGATTTAATGTTTGGCCTTGTGCTTTATTAATTGTCATTGCAAAGGCTGGCTGAATAGGAAATTGACGACGAGTAAATTGAAAGGGTAAGTTAGTATTTGAAGAGGTAAGGGAAATTCGAGAAAGAAAGGCACATGACCCAGTATGCTTTCCTGTGAGAATTTGAACTTCGATAACATGTGATAAAAAAGCACAGCATATTAACCAGGTTCCATTGCAGAGACCTTCCGAAGGATTAATATTACAAAGTAATATAACCGGAGTACCTATTTTTAGTGATAATTTATGTGGGGGTAATCCGCTTATGTTTAAAGAATTCAAAAATTCAACAGGATATAAATTTTCATTAGTAATATTATTTCCTGTTGATTCATCAATACTATCGGCACTCAAATATTCAATTTTGTGACCTGGATATAAAGCAAAAATAGTAGAGTTAATAGTGGAAACATCTGTGTTTTTGGAAGCAAGAATTCCACGATCCATTAAATAAGAAGAATTATTAGCCTGGGATGTAAGGTTGGGATATACAAGATTTATTAAAGCATGTATATTCTGTGATGATAAAAGGATATCGTCAGGAATTTTAATAAAATCGTTTTTGTCAGGGAATCTCTTAGCACGATCCTCTCCAATTTGTAATAGCCAATCAGCAAAACCATGTCTATCAATATCATTTGATGTGCTTTCAGATTGGAGCAAATGTATATTATGTGATAATTTTATTACTTTAACATGGCACCATAAAGGAGAACATAATAAACAGGAGCCTACAATATCTTCTCTATTGCCTTTAGGAATTATGGGTAATATTTAATGAAAATCTCCACCAAATACAATAACTTTTCCACCGAAAGGTTGATGTTGTAATGAAGGATCTAATGCTTTCATTAAATCTTTGAGGGTGCGATCTACAGCTTCAACTCCATATCAGTTCATTATAGAAGCTTTGTCCCAAAGAATAAGATCTGTTTGTTGTAAAAGGAATGCATGTTCTGTTTCGTGTAAAATATTACACATAGAATCTTCATGTAATTTAAATGGGATTTTAAAACGAGAATGAGCAGTACAACCTCCTTCAAGTAATAGAGCTGCAATGCCAGATAATGCAACTGCAAGTGCAATACGTCTAGTAGATCTTAATTTATCCAATATTGCATTATATAGGAACGTCTTACCTGAGCCACCAGGACTATCTACAAAAAATGCTAAAGGAGTCTGATTTTCTACTGCTAAAATTACTTCATCGAAAATAGACCGCTGTTTAGAGGTTAATTGTATATAAGTATCTCTAACTCTATTTTCAAGAAGCTTACGTCATACTGAAATTCGGTAGTAAGTAGGTGATTTTGGTGTAAAAGAGGTTCAGAAAGAGAGGTAGGAATCAGCATTGATGGAAAATGAGCAAGTGTTGTTCCATTTTTAAGTAATATAGATTCTAATTGATTTAGTGCTATATTATAAACATCGTTTTCAGTAAAAGTATAGTTAGTATCATTTTCAGCTTCAGTGCGACATTGAAATAGTATATCATCACTAAAAGCTGTAATATATTTGTTCCAAAGTAATTCAGGGTAAGTTGAATTACAAAACATAAGAATAACAGCAAATAAATAACGCATTTGGAATCTAGGTTTTATTTGTTGTGCTTCATTTAAGCATTCGTCCCATTCATTATCATTCTGAAGCATACCCAAAGCTTCGCATGCGTCTTTAAAAGTGGGATATTCGATATTATTGACAGTTCTGAGATGGCTGAAAGAAATTGCACCTCGTACGATATTTAATAAAAGATGTAAATAATACCGTTCTTCTGCTTGTGGGTGTATAAAGTACATACACCCAATAGTGTTACCCCTTTGTCTTGGTTTCCATTCTTTGCGTTTTCTATCAAACACCTATTTAGTAGAAAAATCATCATAAGTAAGTGTACATGCGTCAGAATATCTTTCATTTGCCTTAAACCACGCAGTTAGGGTTGTGTCTAAATTGCTAATAATATTTTCTATATTTTCATCTTCTTGAAAAATAATCATGTGCTGATTAGGAAGATGAACTTGAAGACGCATAATGTCAGGTTTTTCGTTATGCATTTTGTAATGAAATAATCTCCATGCAGTTTCAGAGGCAGAAACATAGCGGGCATCTACATAAAGACAAATCTCATTAGTTTCTTGAGCAGATCTTGAGCCTTGTGATCTTCCAATTTCAACTGTAGCGTGGTCATGACCTTTATATATATATTTAAAAAGGTATTTAACCGTGGCAATTGAAGAACATATTTCCACATTAATATGTGCATCATATTTTGTGGCTAAATAAAGGTTATGGGGTATAACCCATCGGTTATCTAAACGGGCACCTCTAACTTCAATTAAGGTGTTATCATTACGTCATTGATAAACAGGGTAACCATCTGCATTTATACTTGTAGTAATACAAAAGGAACGTGCATATCTTTTTGAGCATTTTCCATCTTTCATGCAAGGAGCATTTGGGTAAGCTGAACCACAAGGACCATGCATCATAGTTTGACGAATAGTATTAAAGACTTTAGGGTGAAGGTTTTTATTGGGGATTTCTGCTAATACGATGGCATTATAATCATCAACGGTTTTTGGTTTACTATCGGGATCTAAAATTAAAAGAATATGTGAGTGAGTAAGGCCACATTTCTGAAATTCAATTACATAAATATAAGCTAAAACTATGTCAAATATTCAATTTTTTAGAATGTCATTCATTAATACCTTTAATTTCATGTAAAGACTCTAGCTGTAAGATCAGGACGATTTGATGCATGCTGATTATTGAGGAGCTCATTAGTAATTTCGGGCCAGGTTGGATTACATGTAAAGGTAATAAAAAGATCTGGTTTGCCAAGTGTACGCACTATAGCCATCGCGTCCTGATATAGTTGTTGCATCTGACGTGGGCCACCAGTAAAGCTAGAAGAAAGAATAATTCGTTTGCCTATATTTGCAATTTCTACATTATGAGACATGTTATCCCGAATAGATAAAGCATCTTGAAGACCACTATAAAGCTCAGCGCGAAGCCGTTTTTGATTGAATTTTAAATAGTTGAGACAGCTTTGTTCTACATTTGCATAGGCATCTACGATGTATTGCTAAAATAAACGTCCAGTAAGGTGAAGACTTATTTCTTCTCTAGGGTGACCAAACTGTAATTTATAAGCATAATATTGCATTATAGTAACGTAGTGTTGGTCTGCAACATCGTCATCGTCTATTGTATCATCTTCATGTGGATCTTGGAAAATTGCAATGGGTTGAGATAAAATTTGAGTTTCATCACAAAATGGGATTTTTGGATGCCATCTGTCTTCGTCTCTAGGGAACAAAAGAATGTAATGCAATGCAGCATATGATCTATGTAGTACAGAAATGCGCTGAAGTGTTCCAGTATGTGAACGTAATATTATATCACAATTGCATAATTCAGTTTCACTATTATCGCCTACTAAAATAGCTGCAATTTCAAAAGCATTTGGAACATTATAGCGTCGCGGATCAGTTGTTCTTGAATCTTTAATGACTATCGTCAAATTATGTGATAGATTTTGATGAAGTATTCTGCCTGTTTGTTGAAAAACTTGAACGTATGGATTAGTAATGTGAAGCATGTTCTGAAGGTCAGCAAGAGTTTCTTGATTTAAAGAAGACATAATGTTATGCCTGTTTTGAAGTTCGTTTTCAGTATCAAAAACATATATTTGCGCGAAAGAAGGTTGATCTTCATAAGACTGAGGAAGAAGGAACCCGATTCGATGATGAACTTCCTCGTGTATAGAAAAACTATAGGGACCTCGTGTTCCTGTAATATGATCATCAAGTTTAGCTCCTAAAGAAGTAAAGGCTAAAACTGAATTATAAGAACGTATATTTTGGCGAAATTCTCGTGAATGCGTATCATTGCCAGTGAGATAAGCTTTTAATACTGGTGGTGGTTCTTGAAAGTTGGAAGAATAACTTTTCCACGTGCACAACAAGTAGCAAAAATGGGGGAACGTTTAGATGAACCTGCGCATCTCTCATCTATCCATTTTAATGCACCACAAGAACTACATGAAATATTCATTTTTCTAAGTGTATGACGCTGTATACGACTTGAATTAAATGGATACACATGCATTTTTGGAACTGAAACACTATGAGCATGTGATAATGGAGGCACAACCATAGTACTTGATGTAGAAGAAATTTCTTGACGTAAATGAGGTAACGGAACTCTATCAAGAGAAGAAAATGTAGAAGAGCTAGTATCATTAGTAAATGAAGGAACAAAATTTTCTTGAGAATGGGCAAAAGAATCTGTAAGCGTAGGTGGTGTAATGTGGTTAGAAATAAAAAAGTTAGTGTCGTTTGTAGATGAAGCAAAACTAAAGTTTTCTTGAAATTGGTCAAAAGAATCAGTAGTTGTTGAGAATGTAACACATTTAGAAGTTCTAGCTTTTGATTCCCTATACTGCCTTTTACGTCTTTCTCTTTGTTCTTCACTTTGACGTGCAGCTGACTCTCTTTTTAGTCTGTGACGGCGTTCAATAAGAGTTTCAGTTGTAGAGAAATCCATAATAAAAATACTATGATACTTTGAAAATGAAAACTAAAATATTATATAAATAACTTTTTTACTATCGATTAATCGGAAAGCAAAAAGCAAAAAGTAGATAAAATAAATTCGATTGAACTGCCTATATTATTATAATGTTGAAAAATCTCGTTATGTCAGATTATAGCAAACACGTGTTGGTTCAACATCTTAGAATGAATCACAGGGTTGTGTAACCGTCATAGTAAAAATCTTAGAAATGAATCACGGGTTGTGTAACCATTATATTAAAAATTAAAAATCACGAATCAAGGAAGAGCAATCATGAGACTGCACTAAATAAATACATATACTATGCAAAAACGTTTCACGAATATGCAATGTCCGCAAAAACATTTCACAAATATGCAATGTCCGCCCACTTTGCATAACTTCAGTTTTTTTAAATAATACATAGATAACTTTTTATTTAAGAGGTTTTAAAAAAATTTATCTAATAACTTTATAGAGCTATATCAGCTCTATATATATATTAAATATTTTTTTAAAAATCTCACACTATAAAGAGTTGATGCTTTTGAAAATTGAAATTTTATATATAAATTTATAAATTTATATATAAAAAATTTTAATTTTCAAAAAACATCAACTCTTTATAGTGATAAGATATTGAAAAGATATTTGGTATATATATAAAACTGATATAGCTTTATAAAGTTACCAGGTAAATTTTTTCAAAACCTCTTAAATAAAAAGTTATAGTTATTTAAAAATTTGAACCACTTTGTATAATTATTAAGTATAGACTTCTAGCACCATATTTGGTTTAATCAATAATCAAATTAATGAATTTCTTTATCTAGATTTCTTATCTATATAAATTATCTGTCTCAGGTTTTTTTCTTTAGATTAAAATTTTTATAAATAATATTATTAAAGATTGTACTATCTTTCTAGTCAGAATTTTTAAACAAAGTTTCTTATAATATATATATTTTCTAGATTTATTTATATAACATTGCATACTCCTAAAGTTAATTTTAGTATAACTAGAATTATAGAGTTATAACCTCAAATATTTTAATTAAATTACTAAAATAAAATTATTTTTAAAATTCTATTGTTAATAAGATTTGAATTTTAAACTTACTACTTAAAAAATAACAACTCAACCACTATATTAAGATCATTATTTTTTATTTAAAATTAATATTTAATAAGTTCATCAAAAATTAGTAAATAATTTTTGAATAAATATAGGTGTAGCCGATAGCTACATGTAGTCTGTGTAACGTAAAAGTAATAGTAAGTTGTACAATCATTAGTGTAATGTATAATGCGCATATGCATATAAAAAAAAAATATCGATTAGATG